CAGGACAGGAGCAAGGAGGACAGGAACCTTGGAGAGGGGCCGGGACAGTGAAGACCCTGTGAGCCAGAGCACATACTCCAAGCCTCTCTTGGCCAGAGGGACCAGGACCCTGGGCAGGGATGGTGGTTGCCAAGGAAAGTTTTACCCTTGAAGCCCAGCATTGGCCATCTCCCTGGAGGGGCTCCGGGTCTCCGCAGAGCCTCTCGGAATATGAAGGAGTCCAGGAATCTGAGGGACTGCAGTCAGCAGCACCTTAGGGGGAGGCGGGGGGGCCGGAGGGGAGGCTGGGAGCAGGTGTGTGATGGCCAGAATGCTGTGCGCGGCCAGCAGCCTGGGCATTGGGTCCTTCTTGTGACGCGAAGACACTGCAGGATTCTGACTGTGACGCCAATGGTTGCTCCAGACTCTGCCTTGGCGGTGATGGCAGCAGCCTCTGCCCCTTTGCTGGCGCTATGTGGCCCCTGTTGGTGCTGCTGCTGTTGGGCTTGGCGAGCTGCGGTGAGTGGCCCTGATCCTGGCTCTGCGGATCCCGTCTCCTGCCTCCACGGTGCCCCTCTGGTCTCTCCCAGGAGAGGGTGGCTGGTGCGGGACGCACCTTTCACTGCAGGACCAGCGCGAAAGTGGGAGGCCCCGCGGGTACTCAGGCGCCTCCTTCCTTCATTCCCTCTCCCTCCTCTTCGTCTTCCCGGGGGACAGCGGGCTCATCTCCTTCCCCTGCTCTCGCCTCCAGAGGCACCCAGGGAGGAAGACTCAACACCGCGCACCTCGAGCGAAAATTAGAGAGAAAGGGCTCCTTCCTTGGGAAGTGGGTGGCAGCTGTTAGGGTCCCGCTCTTTGGCACCCCTCTTCCCTCCTAGGCGCTTAAATGCACTGGGGATGAAGGTGGGACAGTGGGAGAGCCTGGTCTTCTAGCGATTGAAGTGCGCATTTTGGCGAAGCCTGCGAGATGGTTTTATTTTCCCTGTTTGCCCTCCCACATGAACATACCAGGTAAGGGAGACATACCTGATACAATTCAGTTTTATTTCCAACACACCATTTAATTAGAAGAATCCCCCTCCCGCCTCTTTTTTAGTTTATTAAACCCTAGAAATAGACTTCCTGGAAACTCTCTCAACCTCCCGCCCCACCAACCACTTTAAAACAGTCCAAAGAGCACATTCAAGTTTCCCCCTGTACTTGGGGAACCATTTAACGGCAATGGATTTCCCTTGAAATAGAAAGACAACTTGCAGCTAAGTGGAATTTGGTGTTTTTCTACACCAAAGGCCTTTTGGCCCCAAGCTTTTGGAAACTATTTATGTTTAAAAACATGTGCTCCATAAAAACTGAGGAAAGCACGTGATTTTTTTTTTTTTGGTGTGGCTCTATAGGCTATGCCTGTCACATTTCACATGCAAAGACCCTTTTGTTAACTTTTTCTAAGATTCAAATTGTGTTTGAACAACTGTACAAC